GCGAATGCTTCCAAACGTTGGTCTAAAGATCCTCCACAAACTAAAGAAGCCTATTGGTACAGAGATCAATTTGAAAGTTTATTCCCAGGAGATCATTGTACTGAAAGTGTAGTAAGATGGATTCCAAGGAGAGATTGGGGTATGTTATTAGATGCTTTTGTTATTTTATTATTTATTTTTTTTTTGAAATCATGCATGTTGACTTATTATTATTTTCTTTGCAACATAAAAGGATGTCCTGAAGATCCATCTGGTCGTGCTCAAAGTGCTCATAATTCTTCATATAGTCAAGATGATTTAGCTCGATACAATTCTCATGAACAAAATAATCATATTCTCGAAAGTCAACTATAGTGTTGGGCATCTTTATACCGTATTTTCGCGAAATAACGCACAGGAATGCAGTTTCTAAAATTTGCTCAAAATTAAGCTTAATTCAGGCCATTATTCTAAATAACGCTTTGGGCGTTATTACGCGAAAATACGGTATGTCCAATTTTGTCCAATTTTGTCCAAAGCCCAACACTTTGTTTAACCGTCACATGCATTCATTTCACCATAATAAATTATTTATTTCCATATTTATGAAAGATTTGAGATTAATCATAAAACTTTGATACAATATTTATTTTTACTTTAGTTACGCTAGTGCATTTTATTCATTTTTCCTATGCCTATCACAATTCTAGTATATTCAGATGTATATTTTTCATGGACAAAATTACATGCATAATAAATTATAGAATCATTTCTATCAATCATTCACTCTAAATTTTTATGAAACGAATAATATACGTGTATCACCTTATATATAAATTACAATATATAACTACAAAGATGAATTTAATTTCTAAAATATTGTTTCGAATGTCATCCTTGATACATTAAATTACAGCATAAACATAAATGAATGGTACTTGTGATTAAAAGAATGACCATATAACAGATAATGCAATTTTTCGAATATCGTAAAATCTTAACTTAGGTAAAACTGTTACCTGTTACGTATTACGTATGTACGTATGTGAGTACGTATACCAGGTACGTACGTACATACTTACGTATGAATTTATACCAAATAAAATGAATAATAGGGAACGTGTCCAACAATCTGGTATGTGTAACATTATTATATACTATATACTATAGTTGGTCTCTCAAAACTTGATCGTTTCGTTTGATATAAATTTATCGAGTCTCAAGTTCCCATTGTGATCAAACAAACATTACGTCGAATCTGAAGAATGGAAACCATAATTACCGAACTCTTGGCATCTAGCCACCATGAAAATTTAAAAAAAAAAATTATAGAACAGCTTACAACGAATACGCAGGAAATGCCTCAAAGTGATTGGGAAACACTGTGTGATTTTTCATATGGACTTATATTAGAGGTATTATCAAAAAGTTTTATGATGATACTGTTTCAACTTTATCTGAATAGATCGTATTTCACCATTTTAAGCATGAAACTCGTGTACACGCTGAAGTCGGTGAATATGTTCTCTCTTGGATAGCCCGTACTCAAAAACAAATATATTTGAAATACTTTAATTCAGAAAATTTAGAATTTAATCTTGATAAAGCTGGATCAAATGTATGTTTTAAATATAAATCAGATTAAATGAATATATATGAAATAATCTTTGATTTGTTCTAGGTTCTGGAAATATATAAACTTCTAAGAGCAACAACGAAAGTGATCAAATACAAAAATGGTATTTACAATCAAATAATAATAAGTCTATGGTGCAAGGATGTGATTAATCAATTATCATTTTACTTATTTAGAGATAGTAGATAGCCAGTATATAGAAAGTATTGAAAAAGATTGTCAATTATTACAGCGATATGCTGAAAAATATTTTGTTCAATGGAAAGGGAGACATGATTTACATGCGTTATTCATAACTATGTTTTACGATCTACCAAAGTCTATTCCTTCGGATCGAAATATGGTCATACAGGCAAGTACAAGAAATAACTTTACTATTTCATGTGTAACATTTATATTTTTTTTATATTAAAGAAAAAAAAAACTTCTGTGTCATTGCATAATAAAGGTGCTTATACATGGATTAAGTAATGTGCCAAATGAATCAATAGACAGTACTTACCGTGATTATGTAGAAAAATCGGTATCTTTGATAGAGTCAATGTGGAATGAAAGGTTAGAAATTTTGTTCTTTTAATATTTTATTTATTATTATCAGAAGTGTACTTAGCAATTGTTATTTTTAATAGTGTAGAGTTAATAAATTTCACAATTCGGGAAATATTTATAAGACTTTCAGCAGCTGGATCGCATTCATTTGCAATGGCGTTACTTATTAGTAGAATACCATTGGATCATTTGTCTGGTAAATTAAATAATTGACATCTCAAGAATTAATATTGCGCTATCTGACGGTCACGATATTTATACTATAAATCTGTTAGTCATTACACCGTATATTCAGAAGAACTTCCGCGAAGATATTTCACGGTTTGAATTGAATATACGACATATGATTGATATGATACCACATCCGTTTGCCAAAAATATAGGTTGGTCTAATTTCTATTGTTTTAAAGTTAACTAACTTTGTCAGCTTTTCATTATAATTCTTTTTCATTATCAATCATTCATTATTTAATTTTCGCATACGTTTTTTAGGACATTGGATCGTTGGATTAATGAAAGCTTTGGAAACTGTCAAAAGTCATGAGCTTTTAATCCCAATCACACGTATCAATATTACAAAAGGTATGCGAAATGAAACATTTATTTATCATTATAATAATTGCTTTTAACTATAATAAATAATGAACGAATCAATTAACTTTATATTAGTTTTCAGATATTTACGGGATAAAAAATCGCGAGAAGATGCTTTACTGGTTGTCAAATATATGCTTCTTGGTTACCAAATTGCGTCTGACGTTTTCATGTTAGTTGTTCCAATGTATCCAGAAGTGCTGGATATTATTTCTCAAGAAGTATGTTGAATAGTTATATATTTAATATTTATTATTATGATTATTATTAACTTTTGATTTCTTAATAAAATAATAGAGTGATCAAGTTGACGTGTTGCATGAGCTTTCTGGCATTGCTCAATGTTTAATGTGCCGTTTTTCAGCAAATCAAAATCAATTTGCACCTCTTAAACAAAAATTAGAAAATTTGGGAATGGTATTTTATTTAGATATTAATTTAATTATGTAGTATTGGGATACTTGCTAATCCTTCATATTCTTTTCGTTAGCCGAAGTTAGTACAAAGCGAAATTAGGACTATTCTGCAAGAACATAATTGGAATAAAAATATAAAGAGTGCAGGTAATTTTTGACTGAAGCATATAACCTTACTCATGTTTATATTTGTGAAGTTATCTAATTTATTTTTACATTATCGTTAAAATATTAATTATTCTGAATTACCGCTGAAATTACCGCTAAATTATGACTTTACAGAAACAACATACAAGCCTACCGTAAGACCTGCAAGATCGCGCAAAAGGATCGGGTTGCAAAATTTAGGAAACACATGTTTCATGAACAGTGTGCTACAGGTTGATACACTTTAACAAATTGTAACAACTTACCTTTTATGGTAACATTGGCGACTAAAATTTTTTTTCTCGCGAATATTGTTGGTTAAAGGCACTATTTAACTCACTGGAGTTTCGATATCGTATATTCCGTGCAACTAGGTAAAGCACTTGCTTTTTATTTATTAAATTTATTAGGAAAACGTATTATCTAAATTATTTTTTTAATTTAGTAATAAATCCAAAACTTCAACACTACATCAACTCAAAATGTGTTTCGGTTTTATGGCTTTCTCAACAAGATCATATTTTTCACCTTCAGCTTTATTAGAGGTTAGAATTTTATCAGTAATATGAGATTTTTGTTATCGTCAAACATAATAAGAATTTATTTATTGTTACTAGACGTTCCCTCGTTGGATTAATAATGGTCGCCAGCAAGATTGCCATGAATTTTTGAAGCAAGTTATATAATTGTATTTATTTGCATTCTTTTTTGTCTTAAGTACAAAATTCACATTTAATTAAAACAATATGTAATTGCAGAATTCTATTCAGTCAAATCGAGGAAGAGTCTAATCAGGTTGTATCTAACAAAAGACCACGACTTGACATGGAAAACCAATCTGCACCTCGAATTAATTATAATGAAATGCCAATTTCTGCATTCTGTGGTACATTGGAAAATACAATAAAATGTTTATCATGTGGTAATAAATCAAGAACAAAGGTAAAATAAGAAATTGGTTGATTTTACGAAATTATAATACTAAAACTTTGATTAATGTCTACGTTTAACCTTTGAAAGGAAGATTTTCATGATCTTACATTGTCACTCAAAGCTGAAAATGAAGGTGAGTTGATCCCATTAATCACAATATTTATATTAATATTTAATTTATTTTAACTATATTGATTATTATTAGTCGATAAACTTTCACTTGATCACATGTTATTTGAGTTTTTTACTCCAGAAGAGTTAAATGAAGATAATCAATATTTTTGTGATAAATGCAACGGGTTACAAGATGCAGTTAAGGTATGTGGTATTTTATTAGAATATATAACCTTCAAAGTCATTTCGTATTAATAGATAATTATCTGAGTAGACAACGCAAATAATTGTCCCTCCGCGTTATTTGATCTTATCGCTTAATCGATTTGAATATGACAAGAGATATGCAAGAAGAATAAAGATCATGACTCCTGTAAGTTTTATTAATATATGAAGGGGTGAAACCTAAGTTTTTTTTTTAGTTACCTTTCGATGCAGGTCAATTCTATTAGAATATTATATTTAGGTAGTGGTCTGCGTCAATAAGGTAACCACTTGACTCAGGTTTCTCCCTGTAATGTCATTATTATTGACGGTATAACTGATAGCTATGGTTAAATGTTACGTTAGGTTACGCCTCAAGATACTCTTTCTTTAACGTATGTTCCAGACACGCTTGAACGTAGTTCAAAAAATGAGTCAAATTACACTAATGTCGAAATACATCATCAAATGAACGGAACAGCTGATTTAAAAACAAATGGCAATGGTAGTATTTGCTATGATACAGATAGTGATATGGATAGTGAAATGAACAGTGATTCGAATATCGTATACAATAGCGACTTCGAAGAGATTATTGGAGACAAAGTGGATTATGATTTGTCTGCATTTGTTGTACATTCTGGGACATCTGCTGAATATGGACATTATTATACTTACGCAAAAGATGAAGGTATGTTAATTTTAATTATGATCCGATTTAAAGATGATCTCTCAATATATTATTTTTCTCTTATAGAGGACGGTAATTGGTATCATTTAAACGATAACTTTGTGATAACTTCTACGTGGTCGAAGATCAAAGATGAGGGTGAAGATTACAAATCTGATACTCCATATCTTTTTTTCTTTCGGCAGAAAAATTTGAACAATGATGATTTAGGTTAGTATTTATTAATCAAGTTGACTCATATCTTTAAGTTTCCTAAAAGCTAAATGTTTTTTTATTACGAATGTAGGAGAGATTCCTCAATTACTAGTTCAGGCGGTTCGGAAAAGTGATAATCAGGGCTATTCTGATAGTGGTTTTTCGTTTTATGATTCGGAAAACAAAGAAAATGAAGATGATAGTGAATTGAAAGATAAAACTGCAATAGATTTTAATAGATTTGTGTCATAATGCATTACTCAACATTTTAATGATGGATATCGAAATTTCATAATAATAATAACAATAATAACAATACTTGTACCACATAATAGAATATAATATTTAATTATTATTTGTTGTCATTTTTTTATCAGTACTTTTATTAGTATTTATTAGACGATTTATTTCGTACATAAGTATATTTCCGGCCATCGCGACGTTTAACGAATTTACGTTGTTTAGCATAGGAATCGAGACACGTATAATATCTTCACCTGCATCTCGATAAGTAACTCCATGCATCTTACTACCCAACACAAGTGCAATACGAGAAGACGGTATCTCATCATAAATTTCTTGTGTAGTCGGATTCCAAAAGCAAATATTGTTCTGGCTTTGGATTGATCTATTATGCGGCATCGCATCCGCTATGACCAGTGTTAAATCATGCTCCTTTGTCAGTGCATATAAATCATGCCAAAATCCTGTCTTTGACGGCCACGTTACAGATGTACATCGAGATGTTCGAATTACTTGTTCGTCAAAAAGATCAACAGTACCGGCAATAATAAAGCTAGCATCCCAGCGCAAGGCATCAGCAGCGCGAATTAGCATTCCCATATTTACACCATCAATTACATGGTCTAATACCAATAATCTGGAAATATTTTTTGGAAATGAAATGTTTGGAAACGGAAGTTCAGCCCATATTTCTCTATTATCGACGCGTGCTTCCCCGCCAAGTATTTTCCGTGTCCATTCGACACTCGTTACATAATAACGATCTGCTGGGAATTGATTAATGTTTTGAAAAACCTCTTTAGATGAACCAGCTATATCATTAACAGACTTTAAATCTTCTGGTGCTGTAATTCCAATACTTTTTATACGATGACCCTTTGCTATCAGATCTTTAATGTATTTTGCACCATGAACTACTAAGGAACCCTGCCTCTTTCTTCTTGATTTGTCACGACGCAGTTCCTCAAAATATACAACCATATTATGTCTTGCACCACTTATACGCACAAATCCAGGTATATTAATAATGGGTGGAGGTGGTGGTGGCACTTTCTTCTTCTTTTTGAGTTTCTTTGGCAAAAAACCATCGTCTATTTGTCTCGGTCCATGGATGTCAGTCGAAATCTTTTTTTCGTGAAGACGAAAAACGAAACTTAAAACTGGTGAATGACGAATAAGGAGACCCGGGTAAAAGTCAAATGCCTTCTGGCGAAAGACAAATCCTCTGGCAAAAGACGAAACCATTTTACTATGGTTTTGGAAAAGTGTCAAAGTAGATTTTGAATGGCTGTTTGATTGGCTGATCTAATCTATTCAAAATTAAAATTTGATTGGCTCATATTGCAAATATATTTTTTAGAGAAACAATCATGCCCTACTGAAGTAAAACTTTACATATACTGTAATATGATAAGACAGCTTTTTTTATTTAATTACAATTAAATTTTCGATTACCAAAGATAAAAAATATTGACTTTTTTTGATTAAATATTTAACGATAACAAAATTTATATACAATATAAAGAAAGCCTTTTTTACATAATTATAGTTTCAAATTTTTGGTTATTAAAAGCCAATTTATAATACAGACACATATTTTAGCTTGAGTATATAGAGGGTGTCAGTAAAAACTAGACAAATAGTTTCTAAGTAAAATTTTTTTAGATGTTAAATTAAAATATCTTAACAACTATTAAACCAAACTTGATATTTTAATGCTATTTAATTATAGAATTAAAATAATAAAAAAAATTTATTAAGTTTGGTTTAATAGTTGCTGAAATATTTTAATTTAAAGTTTTAAAAAAACTTACTAAAAACAATTTGCCTAGTTTCTACTAACACTCTCATATAGTAAAACAAAAAAAAAATTTGATTGCTTTTTTTTTAATAGTAATTTACTAATACAGTATCTACCAGTGTTGGCCGAATATGGATATAAACAATATGGACCAATGGACATGGACAAATATGGACTATGTTCATATTGTTTATATTTTTTAAATGGATATAAACACTTAGTTCATATCTAAAACGTGATTTGTGTAACTTAATTTCTCAGAATTTGATTGGCTCAGATAACCAATATAATAGTATTATAATGTACCAAAATTATTAACTAAACTTATTTTTGGCCACACAACTTATATTATCTTTAGTGTTTCAAATTGAGCCGGCTTGATAAAGCTTAACCAAATTTGGGGTTGGCTTAATTTTGGCTTAAAAGATTTGTGAGCTACTAGTACAAATTATGTAATACAAACCTACTATTAATTAAGCTCAGAATATATCATACCAATACTTTTTTCTATCTTCTATTCATTTTTAGTGGTATCGAAGTTCTGAAGATTATTTAAATCTTACTTACAGTATATATACATTTTTTTATAGCATATTAGTTTTAGTGTAAGTAAAATAGGTATTATGAGTTGAAAGTTCAGAGCTCCAAGAAGTTTAAATCTTATATATATTTTTTTATCACACATTATTTTGTAAGTTATTATAATCGAACTGCCACTTATAGGTTTTTTTTTTTTTTTGTAAATCATTTTTTTAACCAATTTTTTTTATAGATTCGAAAGTTGTATATTATTTGTCTCACACCTGCATATAACTGTTATGACCAACCAATACTTGAAGTTATATCCATAAAGTATTATTTAATGATTATTAGTCAAAAGTTTTAAAAATTATGAATAGTGAATCTTACTTATATATATATTTCTTTTCATAGCATATTAGCTTTAGCATAAATAAAATGAGTATTATGAGTTGAAAGTCTAAAGCTTCAAGAAGTTTGAATCTTATATATTTTTTTTATTGTATATTATTTTGCAAGTTATTATAATCAAACTGCTATCTATAGTCACATTATTTTTTTTGTAAGTTTTTTTTTTAAACAATTTTTTTTATGGATTTGAAAGCTATATATTATATACTCACACCTATATATAACTGTTATGACCAACCAATACTTGAAGTCACATCCATATAGTATTATTATTTAATAGTTATTAGTCAAAAGTTTTAAAGATTATAAATAATAAATCTTACTTATATAACTTTTTTTTTTTTTTTTATAGTATTAGTTTAGTATAAGTAAAATGGTATTATAAGTTAAAAGTTCAGAGTTTTAGAAAGTTTGAATCTTATATATTTTTTTTTATTTTTTTATTTTTTTTATAAATTTGGCAGTCTTGCTTTAACTTTATTAGGCTTTGTATGAGTCTTCTAGACTGGTAAAATTTTATACTAAGTTGCATTTAGAAAGGTAAGTGATAAACTCTTAACTTATCAGCAGATAGCATATAAGAACTATCTCTAAACGACAAGCGCCATAGCATTAAATTTAATGTTACCTAAATTACAAGTTAAAACTAACCCAGTTACCTCAATTAGTATCTATATTCGACCTGCTATAGCAAGATTTCCCTCCTTCTGGACCCCTCCTGCACTTGGATATGACCCGGCTCTCAACAGTGGACCTTGCCGCCCATCATGACTATCTCCTCTTCTTTTAGACTTCTTTCACCTAAGCCTGATAATACAAATAAAACCCTTATTCATACATAAAAGTAAAAATGTAAAGCCATGTTTATGCAAAACATAAATATTTTAGAAAAAAAATACCTCATGGTGATAAAAAAAATACAAAAACTAAACTAAAATTCCTAAAATAGTCTAACATAAATGAACAAAGATGAAAAAAGTAAAAAAAAGAAAGTAGCCATGATATACTATTATAGCCCATGTTAGGCATAAAAATAAAAATTATATAATAATTGCAATAATTACTATATCTCGATTGTAAATCTTCGGTTTAGCTTTTAGAACTCGTTTCGGGCACCGACTCAACTTGGGTATCTCCTAAATGGAGATGTCGATCTCTTTCTCATATTGTAGCACTGTATTGATAAACAAAACAAACATGTGGTTGCATTCTACTGAGTTCATCTGAATTAGATAGATGTAAACAATGCTGATCTTTTGAAGGGGGTGAGCTAAAATGCCCACTTTTTTGTCGAAATTTTTAGTAAGAACGGCAAAAAGTGAAAAACACAAAAGAGACCACTGGCACTTCTTCAAATGAGTATAAGTTCTAAAGACATCAACAGGTGTTTTACAAGTTTGCACAGTACTAAGTTTTTTTAGTAAGTGATAAACTCTGAACTTGTTGGCAAATAGTTTATGAGAACTATCTCTAAATGACAAGTGCTATACTGCTGTAAGTGATAAACTCTAAGCTTGTCAGCAGGTAGCATATAAGAACTACCTCTAAACAACAAGTGCGGTTCTTCTTATACCCTTTTTTCATGTCTTATATTTTTCTTGTAGTACATTACTGTTTTTTAGTCAAAAAGTTTTTCGAAAAATATGGTTCAGATGATTATCGGAAAGAGTGTAATATATTTTTTTTTATCATGCATTATTTTGTAGATTATTATAATCAAACTGCTACTTATAGCCATATCATTTTTTTTGTAAGTCATTTTTTTTAAACAAATTTTTTTATATAATTCGAAAGCTGCATAAACTATTGTAACCAACCAATACTTGAAGTCATGTCTATAAAGTATTATTATTTAATGGTTATTAGTTGAAAGTTTAAAGATTATGAATAGTGAATCTTACTTGTATATATATATTTTTTTATAGTATTAGTTTAGTATAAGTAAAATAGATATTTTGAGTTAAAAGTTTTTTTTTTTTTTTTTTTTTTTTTTTTTAAAAAAAAATTCGGCAGTCTTGTCTTCACTTTATTAGGCTTTGTAATAATTATTTAAACTATTAAAATTTTCTGAAAAGTTATTCTTCCCAGTATCTAAATTACAAATGAAGACTTACCCAGTTGCTCATTGAGTACCTATGTATGACCTGCTATAGTAAGAAT